GCGGTGACCTCGACATCTCCCAGGACACCTCACCGCACGGTCCGTCGACGCACGGCCCTGGGACCTCGGACGCCCCAGTCGCCCCAGACGTCCCCCACCGACTCACCACACGGTGTGGCCACCACCACGTTTGTCGGGAGCGGCCAAGAGGGGGGTGTCCAAGAGGGGGGGGGGTGCAAATCATGACCGGCGGCATGTGCGCGGCCCAGCGGGGGGGCCAAGGACGTAATGAAACAAAAAGAGGCGCCGTGAAATCTGGGGAAATATCATGGCCCACGCCATGATATCCACTCCCCCCTAATCATCACCCCCCTCTTCTCCGCCCCCGAGTTCGGGGGGCCCCCGAGCGTTGCCCCGTCCTCCTCCTCCTCCTCCTCTCTCTCCTCCTCCTCCTCCTCCTCCTCCTCCTCCTCCTCCTCCTCCTCCTCCACCCCCTCGTCCTCCTCCTCCTCCCCCTCGTCCTCCTCCTCCTCCTCCTCCTCCTCCTCCTCCTCATCCTCGGGCCCCGAGCGTTGCCCCCGAGGGCCGTCCAGCCGCCGGAAGACCTCGTCGATGGGGAGGCCGGACCTCGCGGGGCTCAGGCAGCCCCGCACCGTGCGGAGCACCTCGCGCATCCACGGCTCCGCGAGCGCCGCGGCGGAGGCGGCCGGGCCCGGCCGCCGCCTCGTGGTGGGGGCCGCCCGGAGCGAGGGGGTCCGGGCCTCGCGGCCCGCGGCAGCGACGAGGCAGTCTGTGGGTTTGGGTCGGGCAGGTCCCCGTACAGGCGGATTCTGGGCGGAAAAATGAAAACGAATCCAAACATCTCAAAACAACAATTTAAACACGTCCTAGACACATCGTCCCCAATATTATATATATATATATATATATATATATATATATTATATATATATATTAAACACGCATAAACCAACGATTTCAGACTATTCCCCCCGTAGAAGGACACGCCCGACTTAACTTTAGGTCCGTCTTCGCGTTGCCGCTGTTCCTGGTTCCGGCGCGCCCTTCTCTTCTTGGTGTTCCGTCGCCGCTCGTGCTCCTGGTGCCGGCTCTGACTCGGCCCCGGAGTCGTTCTGCTTGGGCTTCGGCGCTCCGTTTCTGCATTTGTGAATTCTTATCGGGATCAAAATTCTGAGGGACGGTGAAAAAAACGGAATGGCCCTGCCGCTTCCGAAAGCCACGAAAGACGGTGGATCATCGGCGATGCATCGCCGATGCGTCCGCGACTTCGGCGATGCGTCGACATCGTCGGCTTCGAGAAGAGATCGGGCTTCGCATCGAGCCGCGCCGCCGATGCATCGGCGATGCTGCTCAATCCTGCGACCCAAACTTGAGGGGCCCATTTTCTGCCACCACTACCATGGGTAGGAGAGGGAGGAGGAGGAGGAGGAGGAGGAGGAGGAGGAGGAGGAGGAGGAGGAGGAGGAGGAGGAGGAGGAGGAGGAGGAGGAGGAGGAGCTCTTCGGTCGGTGACTTCGTCACAAGGAGGAGGAGGCGGAGGAGGAGGAGGAGGAAAAGGAGGAGGAGGAGGCGGAGGTGGAGGCCCAGCGTACTCAGAATGTCCAGCTTCGAACTAAGGAGAGAGCACGGGGGCGCCTGGGCACGAAGCCGAGAGAGTCGCGGTCGTCGGCGGACACGTGCGGGCGTGAGCCGCTGTTTTAATCATCGGAGGAGGAGGAGGAGTAGGAGGAAGAGGAGTAGGAGTAGGAGTAGGAGTAGGAGTAGGAGGAGGAGGAGGAGGAGGAGGAGGAGGAGGAGGAGGAGGAGGAGGAGGAGGAGGAGGAAGGGGATGTGCCGTGGGGGGGCTCCCCTGGACATCCTGGGGGCACCTTGGGCCAGGAGCACTGCCGGCGGCACCCGACTCTCCGGCACGCCCCACCCGCCCGGGAAGCCCCGCTCTGGAGGCCCAAGTGGCCTCTGCCCGCGCGGGCCCGCTGCGCGCGGCGCGGGCCCAGCCGCCGCGGGCCCGCGGCGAGGCCCGCGCACGCCCAGCAGGGAGTGCACCATGCGCAGGCTGGCGGCGCGCACGCGGACGAACGAGCAGCACACGCCCAGACCCACAGGGGGGTCGGAGGGAGGAGGGCTGGCTGTGGGCACGCTTCGGCGGCGAGCGAGGGAGGGAAGCGAGAAGGAGAGGGCCTTCTCGGAAGGCGGCGGGGCTTCTCGGGAGCCCTCGCGCCTTCTGAGATGTTCTCTGTGTCTTCTGGGAAGGCATAGAAAACTTCTTAGAAGGCCCGGGGGCTCCCGAGCCTTCTGTGGAGGCCCGCCCATCCTCACTTCCCCCCCCTCGCTCGCCGCCGAACGCTGGATCTCATCACAAGGGGGGCGGGGGATCTACTGTTGTGGGGCGGTCTGACGGGCCTCGTCGGGTAAGATTGCCTGGGGGTATCGAGGCTGGACCCGCTGTTGCACCGCTCTGGGGCGGGCGGTTCCAGACGCGCGGCGAAACACTTGTTCGACCCGCCCCCCCACTAGTGTGCGATCTGCTGGCATATTTGTGCGGGTGCTCCCGTTCGATCGCGGACCACCCTCCGACAACACGCACCCACAGCTTGCTCTGTCCCCCTCCATGGGCCTTGGTGTGTGTGTGTTGCTTGATCGTCACACGAGGGGGCAGCGCGAGGAGGGGGCCGGCCTTCTGAGAAGGCGGGGGGGGGGCTTCTTGGAAACCAGGGGCCTCCTCAAAAGCCATCCCGGCCTCTGACCATGGAGCGGCCACGAGGGGGGGGCATCCAAGAAAAGACGGGGGGCGCAACGCATGGCCACCCGCACGTGCGCGGCCCACGAGGGCGGGGCCGGGGACGCGTTGGCACGAGAGGGGGCGCCCTGCTGGGGAGACATCCCGGCCCCGGCCCTGATCTCCACGCCCCCCTGGTCATCACCTCCCCTTGCCATCGCTCGGACGTCCATTCCCTGTGCTTTTTTCGGTTTCGTGCGTGGTTTTTTCGCCAAATGATAAAGGATGCTCCTCAATGGTCCTCGACGAAGGAAAGATGCACACGTCCGAGCGATGCCAAGTGTCCTTCGTGGCCGTCCCCGATCTCAGGAGCCTCCCGAGGAGCCCCTGGACCCTGGCAGTGAGGGCCCCCGCCTTCCAAGGAGCGCGCCGCCCTCTCGGATGGGCTCCCCCCCCCCGGGCGCCCCGCCCCGCCCCCTCTTGCGCGCCGCCAGGCAGGTGCGGCCGCGCGGGCTGCCAGTCCGCCGTCAGCAGGATGTCGGTGCCCTCCGCGCCGTCCCCGCCCTCTGCGGCGAGGGGCGATGGTCTTCGGAAAACGCGTGTGAGCGCCAGCGTTCGGCTGCGCGCAGGAGTGGCCCCAGGCTTAGGTCGGGCCTGTCCTCCTACAGGGGGATTTTGGATGACAAATCAAACATGCCCCATGAATATATATATATATATATATATAAATACACATATATATATATATATATATATATATATATATATTATATATATTACGTTATATATATATATATAAATGTTATCACACTTATTATTATTATTATTATCATTATTATTATTACTATTATTACTACTACCATTATTCCCCAATCAGAGCTTGCGGGGTCCTAGCGGATTAAAAGGTTAGGTGAGATGCGTCGCCGATTTCGGTGGCCTGGTCCGGGAGCCCGGGTGCCCGGGTGCCCGGCGGTGCCCGGGTGCCCGGCGGTGCCCGGGTGCCCGGGTGGTCGGTGAAGTGCGTGGCCGATTTCGGTGGCCGGGCCCGGGTGCCCGGGTGCCCGGGTGGCCGGGTGCCCGGGTGCCCGGGGGTGCCCAATAGCGCGCCCTATAGCCCTATAGCCTATAGCCGTATAGCCGTATAGCCCTGTAGCCCTATAGCCTTACATCCCTGTAGCCCTAATAGCCTTATATCCCTATTGCCCCATAGCCCATATAGCTCTATAGCCGCATAACCCGATGGCCCTATAGGTCACAGTCCTATAGCCCTATAACCCTATAGCCCTATAGCCCGAGAGCCCTATAGCCATATGGCCCGATAGCCCTATAGCCCTATAAGGGAGCAATTGGAATAGTTTTAAAAATATGGTTGGGTTTTTCTCCGGTGTCATTGTTAGTATTCTTTTAATTATGATTATTATTATCATTTTTACTATTACTACCATTATTCATATTATCATTGTTTTTGTTGTTGCTAGTGCTATTCGTATTATTATTACTATTATTATTATTACTACTATCATTGTCATTATCATTATTGTTATTATTATTATTATTATTATTATTAATATTATTATTTTGATTACGATTATTATTTTTATTAGTATTATTATCATTATTATTAGTATACTATAAGTAATACATGTGTATGTGTATACAGATGTATTCAAATATAACCATAACATAAACAATACACGAAACATCGTCCCCTGACGATTCTTTTATCCCCCTCCAGGTGAAGGACAAGCCCGACTTAACCCCCGGCAAGAGGGACCCTCCGTGCGCGGGCGAGTGGGGCGGGCGCAAGGCGGCCGCATCCGAGCGCGCAAAAGCGCCCGCACCGCGCTCGGCGATCGGGGGGGACGTCCCCGTGTGTGTGAGCGCCCACGTGCCAGGTGAGTGCCCTCCCTCCCCCGCTTTCTTCCGTCCGCTCTGTCGCGGGGGTCCCCTCGTGCTGCAGTGCACTCGTCCACTTGGTGCCCGTGCAGAACTCTGTTCGTCTGACTGGATGTTCTGCTAGTTGTAGCGCCGCCCATTGTCGACAGGCCTCGGCTTCAGCGACCGCGCAATCCAAAAAATCCCTTTCTTCCTGCCCGCGGCTGGCTTCGCCTTGCTCCACCCCCCCCTTCTTGCCGCCGGCCGGACAATCAGGGTCTACCGTTTCCCGAAACGCCTGAGCGCGCGTGCGGACTGCCTCAGGTCGCGCTGCGGCGCAAAAAAAGTGTGAGCGCCAACGTGTGCTTGTCCACCGGAGCTCTTCCATACGACGCAGGTGGGGGAATGATGAGAAGGGCCGGCAGGGGCTGTGTGCTATCGGCGGGGCTGAGTGTGGCAACGCGCACATTTGGCTAGCACACGTCTTGAGGACCATCGAGATGGACCACTCCTCGCTCTTCGAAGAGGCGCCGTCGTCCGGCATGCGGACCCTCAGGGCGCACCTGGCGAATGCGGCCCCGGCCCTGCGGATGGTCCATCGTCCATCCTCGGCAATGTGCGCGAGCTCCACGACCTGCCGCTGTTTGACGGAGCCCTGGGACCAGCATGGGTCGCACTCCAGGGTGTCGCCCAGGTCGTCCTTGACGTCGGCGATCTCGAAGACCAGGCTGGAGGAGGAGCAATTCTCCACGAAGATGCTGGAGCCACTGGCCCAAACGTTGACGAGGCTGTCCAGCACGCCCCTGTCTGGAATCGAGGCCAAGAGCCCCCTGCCCCTATGCGCACGCATCGCCCTACTCACGGGGCATAAAAGCGAAACCTTGAGCCCAAAGTGATACGGTTAGGAAAGAGAGCACTGTTGAAACACCCCCCCGCCCTCCACCGCAATCCCCGAAAACACATGTCTGACTCATGTAAATATCCTGGGAAAGTTGTCTGAACACACTCTCCAAGTAAACATTACCTACATGACGTCCAAACTTCACCCGTGATGTGCGACTGCACTCTTTGCAGATTGCATGTGTGCTCTTATCTGCAAGCGTCGCTCGCCAATCACCCAAGTGGCATCATATGTGTCTCATCGCGCGGGGAAATGACAACAACGGTCGCGCAGGATCTGCACCTTGGCCGGCCCAAGCCATGCGTTCGGCTTGCCGGACGCGGAGCAAGCTGGGGGAGAGACGCCGAAACAGAGAGCAGTTCGGGCTCGGAGAGGGCTCGCTGCTCCTTCGGTCCTGCCGTGGTCGGGCCCCCAGCGCTCCCACTTCAGCCAGGCGCGTTTGGAGCCCAAAGGGGCTTCGTTCCTTATCTGGCGTTCCTTATGGTAGCAGCTTGGCCGTATCAGCGGCGGACCGAAAAGGACCTCCGCGCGGGGGCGCGGAGCGCGGGAGCGCCGGGCCGACATGCGCCAGTGCGAGGCGTGCGGAACTCTGGCCGAGGAGGCCCCGGGTTGGGCTCCCTTGGAGCCCGTTCTTATACTACTAACGATGGCGCCTCCCCCCCCCCCGGGTCACGTAACGAGTCTCGCCGGCGGCGGCGCGTATGGGAACTGCACATTCCTAAGCATTCCGACAAGGCGCCGACGCGAATCGTCCCTGTGGTCCAGGTCTGGAAAAGCTCGGGCTCCCAACGGCAGCACGTCGTTGAGACTCCGTGACCCTGCCGAGACAAGGAGGATGAGGACGAGGAGGATGCTGCTGAGGAGGAGGAGGAGGAGGAGGAGGAGGAGGAGGAGGAGGAGGAGGAGGAGGAGGAGGAGGAGGAGGAGGAGGAACCTCAGCAGGAGCAGGAGGGGGGAGGAGGAGGAACAGGGACAGGAGGGCCCAGGAGGGGGAGGAAACAGCGGGACACCGAGCGGTCGAGGGGTGCCGTGCAGGAGCGGGGAGGGCAGGAGAAAGGGCGCGCCGCCGCCGGGCAGAGCGGCGGTCCGGAGCCGCAGACGTGGTCGGATCGCGGCCCCCAGCGGGCAGGGCCCAGCTGCTGGAATGGGCCGAGGAGGAGGGGGAGGAGGAGGAGGGGGAGGAGGAGGAGGAGGAGAAGGAGGAGGAAGGGGAGGAGGAGGGGGAGGAGGGGGAGGAGGAGGAGGGGGAGGAGGAGGAGGAAGAGGAGGGGATGAGGATGAGATGAGGATGAGGATGAGGATGAGGATGAGGCTGCGCCCAGCAGGATGAGGATGAGGATGAGGGTGATGATGAGAAGGGGCCGAGGGGCTGCGCCAAAGTGATACGTGGGGGGGGGGTACGCAGGTTGGTCCTTGCCTGGCCCGGCACAGCTCAGAAGTGGGTCACACTTGCCACGAGTGGCCTCGGCGGAGGAGGTCACCGAAAGATCCACTGCCTTCCTGACATGGGTGTGGGCTGGTGGTATGCTCACTAGCAAGCAGGATGAGGCAATCAGTCGCTTTGATGGCGACGAGCCACATCGCATTCGGCCAGGGCTTCAGACGCACGAAGCTCATCCCACAAACCCTCTGGCGTGAGCGGTTTAGCACGTTTCCTCTTCTAACCCTAGACAATTACTCAATATGAATACTACTCTCCCTCTTCCCCTGATGACGGCCTGGGAGTGTCCGACCCCCCCCCCGCGTACTGTTTTTGTTACACACAGGTTTCCCCGGAGTTGGGTTTTCGCCTGCATTTTTTCCACAATGCTGCTCTCGCTGAGGCGCCGGCCTCATTTTCGGGCCCCGCTCGTTCCGAATCGTGCTCCCGCTGCAGCGCTGGCCTCATTTCCGTGCTTCCGCTCGTTCCGAATCGTGCTCCCGCTGCAGCGCTGGCCTCATTTCCGCGCTTCCGCTTGTTTCGACTCGTGCTCCCGCTGCAGCGCTGGCGTCATTTCCCGTGCCATGCCACGGCATGCAATGCAATGCTAGGTTGATACTACGCTTTGCGGTGCTCTTCTACGCCATGCCGTGCCGTGCTCTACAATGCATCGCGTACCCTTTCGGGATCATTGCCCTGCTCGACATCCGACTGTGCGAGTAGAGAGGGGATCTGCGCCTTGGTAAGGGATGGGAGGGAGGGGTAGGATGTCAGATATGACGCGAGCGCACCTAGCTTGGGCTTACCCCTCCCCCTCCCCCCCCCTGGGTCTGGACAGGTCGCTCTGCGAGCGACGGGAGCGTCCAAGATGGCCTCGGCGAGAAGGCCAAGAGCACTGATTTTACTTCGGCTGTGGGCCCAGCTCCGCCAACATGGCCCCAAGACGACCCCAAACGCTCCCAAGAGGGCTCCAAGAGGTGCCCAAGAGGCTCTCCCGAGGAACCCAAGAGACCCCAAGAGGCTCCCCCGAGGCACCCACGACGCTTCAAGAAGCCCCCGGGACCGCCGAGAGTCGCCCAAGACGCACCAAGAGGCCAACGCGAAGCTGCCACGAGACATCTCAAGAGACTCCGAGAGGCACCCAAGAGGCCTCTGGCCTTTCCGCTCGCCCTCCTCCTCCGCCTCTTCCGCATCCGCCTGTTCCTCCTGCTCCTCCTCCGCCTCCTCCTCCTCCTTCTCCTGATCCCTCCTCCCTCCTCCCCCGCCCCATTCCCTCCTCCTCCTCCTCCTCCTCCTCCTCCTCCTCCTCTGATCCTCCTCCATCCTCCCCCTCTTTGGCTACGACGTCTTACCCAGCCCTTTGTTCCACTGCATGCTCCTCCACATCCCTCCTGATCAGGGCACCTCCCCTGGACATCGTGGTGACTGGATCGATTTTCTGATGGTCGGCTCCAAGGACAATTCCGAGAAGCGGGGCGGGCGCGGCTGGGGCACAGAGCGAGATGACTGGATCGGTACGCGAAGCGCCTAGAATTGCAGGAGCATCGACCCAAGTGGCGATGGCATAGGCAAACACTGCGTTCGCGTCCGCTTCCGCTTCTCTTGCAGGAGGCGCACGGCCCGCCACGGCGCCGCGCGAGGGCGGCCTCCGAAGCGATGCCGCGGCCCCTGCGCAGGGCAACTTCAGGGGCGGTGACGGCCTCGTCGAGGCGACGGAGGGCCCACGCCGTCGTCGGGGCCGTGCGGGGGAGGGGAGGAGGCGCAGTGCGGACGGAGGGAGGGAGGATTGAGGAGGATCGAGGAGGCGGTGGAGAAGGCGGAGGAGGATGGAGGATGGAGGGTGGAGGGGGCGCGGGCGGTGGAGGCGGAGGATGACGAAGGACGGAGGAGGACGAGGAGGCGGAGGAGGAGGAGCCCTTCGCCTCTGGAGCTCTGGCCCGGGGTCTGAGATCAGGAATAAGCGCTGGCCAGCCAAGCGCGCCGCCGCCGAGGCATCCTGGCAAGAGGCCCGAGACTTCCAGGATGAATTGAAAACGTTAGGGGGGGGACTGGCTCAGGGGGGGAACCTCGGAAACCTCGACCTGGACTCGGCGGTACATCGCCCACAGATCGCTGACAGACCTCGGTAGCGAGCCCGCACGGTCCTGGGAGAGGCGGGCTATCGGGCCCTCAGCGGCGACCAATCGGCGATCGGTGATCATCGGCCCCCCACATCCCCTGAGTATGTCCCCCCTAACGTGGCCCAGGAGTCTTGCAGGAGATCGGATGCTTCCAAGAAGAAGGCTCACCAGCAGTCGGCGGGGGCTACCTTTGACAGGCCGTGTGCCCTCTACCAGCCGCTCCCCCCTCGCGCCACACACATCTGCGCGCCGACGACCGACTGCGAGGACAACGCCGAGGTCCCGCTCCACACATTCACGCCGTCTGCACGCCAGGCTCACTTCGCTGCAAACCGCCCGCGCTGCCGAATCGCGTAGGAGAAACACACGGGCGAATTGCAGTACGGCAGGCGCGCACGATACGAAATTCTACAACAAGGACTCTCGGGGCTCCTTCGACGCCGATTTTAGAGTTTTCTATAGGCGCTCTGGTGTCTCTGCTGGGTCAAGGGGCCATCGGGGGAGAAAAAACTGCGCACCGAGGAATAACTGCTCCGGCAAACTGGTTTCTTATTTGGCGCGCCCGCTGCACGCGCTGATCTTGAACCGGCTTGAGATTCGCACGAAGGTCACTCTGCACAAGTGCTGTGGAACTGGCAGATCTCATCAGCGTCGGTTGTCGATTGCCTCAGTATCCTCCCGCGTCATGCACTCACTTCCACGAGGCTCATAATCGGTGTAGATCCTCGCGACCTCATTCTCGTGCCCCACTAGAGGAAGAAACAACGCCATAAACCTCAACATTTGGAGATCCGCGCGGATCTCTTGGGATCTGCGCTTGGCCCCCCTCCCTGGCGCGCGGAGCGCGCCAGGGGCGGCGCGGCCCAGCGCGGATCCAAGAAATCCGCGCGGAGCGCCAGACATGTATGTTTATGGCCTTTTTTCTTCTTCGAGCCACCCCTAAAACAGGGCTAGGATCGGGATAAATCGCTCCAGAGCGTTCCGGAGCGCTCTCAGAGCGTTCCGGAACGCTCTGGAGCGGCCGCGGCGCCCAATACATCCTCCAAACCCGCCGATTCTCAGAGATTTCGAGTTATCCCGATCCGATTTTGTCCCGATCTTCGCGCGTCGTTTTAACCCCCCCTTCCAGCCCACCCTCGCCCGACCCCCCAAGTTGGAAGCCCGGCGCCGACGGAGGTGCCCCTCGGCCATGGCCGTGCGGCAGAACGAGCTCCGCGCGGGCGGTGCGCCAGCATGGGGCTCGGGCCGCGGCACTGCTGATCGGTGCTGCTCGACTGACCGCCGTGATCTTCCATCATCCTTCCTCCCGCAAGGCGTGACGCCATGGATCGCCTCAGCGCTCATCAGTTGGCTTGACGCCACGGATCGCCTCAGCGCTCATCGGTGCTGGCCCAGGGAGGTACCTGCCGCGATCGAAGACATGTCTCAACAGGCGCGCGTCCAAA